ATCTCTGTTATTTGCTTACAGGCCATGTGTTAAAAATAGAACAAACAATAATTTTCTTCACGATTTTATCTCCTGGATTTGCAACTGAAATAATGATTTTTCTTTATCAGTTTAAAGGAGAGTCCACATTCAACTGGGTCCTAGATTGAACTGTGTCAACTTCAACAATATACATATGACTTTATTTTGTCTATCAAACACTCAACCTAATTAAGGAAATCTTTTTCTTCTTACTCAAATGATTAAAAAAAAAAATCATTTCAGGAAGCTAAATCAGCTCATAAATGCCTTTAATTTCCTGCATCTTCAGATTAATTATGAATGTTTCTGATTCTTCTTTAGAAACCCATCTCAGGAATTTTTATCCAAAACTTGCATCATCTACAGCATTATACGGCACTTCAAAGTAAATCATATTTCCCTGAACAGATTTTAAGTAAACTGCTACCTTCTACTATTATTTATATTTATGCCACTCAACATCAACTGCAAACAAAACTGCATGGGTTCAATTAAATCATGTACTTATGCAGTTTAATATGGACACATTTTTAAACCGTACATCAAATTCTCATCTACGTTGTTTAAGAGTAAAAGTCACATTTTCAATGGTTGCATCACCAAGAACACTACATTCCAGTTGTGCTTTTAAAACCTAAAGTATGAGGAGAAAAGGATATTCTGACCACACAACTGTAGGGACTGTGCCTAGCCAGCTACACTACTTCAAAAAACAAAAACAGTTTCTTATTGAAGGGCATTGTGGATCACCCTCTATAAATCTCTTCCTCCAAAGCCTGCCCTTCAGATGAAATTGGGTAGTGTGAATATTCCTCTGTGCCTAAATCACTTCTGAAATGTCAGGAGTAGACATTTACTCCTAAAGCAGTAAGAATGTTTATTTCCATTTCAGTACTTCTATCTTTACAATATTTACATAAACTACTGAATCAACTGCAATATTAGTAAAATCCCATGCACCTGCCACTTTTATGTCTATTCTGCCTATTCTTGCTGTCATTAACAGAATTATAGACTAGGAGACACTAAGTTGACATAGTGATAAAGCAAGTAATGGTCAAATGTTTTGAAAATTTGATGGTTTAATTATTTAAAATTTCCCATTATCATTTCTTATGATGCTCACCACAACAACAAAGAAAAGAAAACTCTTTTTAGCAAAATGAAAACTACTCCTACAGACTCAAAGTACAGGAATCTGTTTCCTAATGGTTGTCTGCTGGAATTAAAACAAAAAACGCTCTGAGGAACCATGAGCAAAGGGTACACGTGGAGATATTAACAAGATGCATTTGAGAAACTATTCTTTCCAGTAAACCTGCTCTCCAATAGTCACATTGTGAGGGAGTAGCATACTAAGAAATTATACAAGCATTTCATACTGAAGAACCAGACATAACTGACCACTTTTGTGAAGCAACACACAAAACTGATAGCACCAATTCTTCTGTGCTCCGAAAAACTAAGAAAGAATAGATGCAAACAATATCCAGTTTTACATAAGAGCACCAGTATAAGAAACTTTTGTGCCAGGGAGACAGTTAATTCTGTCAGTGTTCTGAATCACTTCCACAGAGAATGTGCAAAAGTTCTTCTGCATATCGAGATTAATTTGCACAATACCTGTACCTTTGGCTTCACCTAGTTAGCTCTATCATGTGTAACTAAAAATACCACCAAAAATTAAACTACAACCCTGGGGTGTTTTTTCCACAACTCACAGCAAACACTGCTGACAGGACCAGACATCCCTTATGAAGAAGTTTCACATAGAGTTTCAGAAACTTTATTTGAAAGAGAAAACTTAATTTTAATCAAAAGCAAAATATTTCAAGGTGTGAGCAAGTTTAAATTTCTCCTCTCTTTGTTTAGTCTTTAAATGTAATTCTTCCTCTAATCAATGGAATGGGAGAGGAGGAGATTAGGAATATGGTTGGGTTTTTTCAACTTTCATTTCAGTTATAGAACTCTTCCCTCCCTCACAACCACCAATGAATTAAATGTTTTTAAGAAAACTAGTGTGGAGGGGAATCATCTCTATCAAAGACTCCAGAGTGTTTGTCGAGAATGGGTTGAATCATTTCACTGTCTCCAATGACCCAGATCATGAATAAAAAGTAACATCCCTTACTTTCCAGCAGATGCACTGAAACACGAGTTCATAAATTCTGTCAGAAAAAAATAATTTACTACAACAAACAGACAAACAAAAGTTATGTTTCAATTAGTTCTACAGCTACAAAGGCCTTCCAGTCTATATTTTAAAGGTTGTGTACTGATTTTCATCTATTATCTTAACAGAAACATTAGATTTCACTAAAAAAATGTGCAAATGTTGATGTAAATGTCCAATTTACGCTATGACACTATGACCTGTAAACACAAATTTTTGTCCTGTATTTTCCATACTGTTGGCCTTTATTTGGCCTAGTAGGTAGCCAAAAAGTTTAAGTATTAAAGAGGTAACTATAGGAGCACCCACCATACAAATATTTGTTTCAACATTCCCAAAGCACTTGTGCAAACTGATCTGATAAATTAGAAAGTTGTTTTGTAAGGTTACTAGGAAAGAAATTAAAGTGTCAAAGATACAGTGACAGATTTCAGTAGAGACAGGTCCAAAAAGTAGTGTGCTTAGATTCCACAAACAGCACTCGACATTCCACTAAGATTCACTGTGAAGAAAATGGCTGTCCAGGTAAGAATAATGATTGAAGTTTTTTCCATGAGCAGAAAACACAAATAAGCTTCTACTTCACACTGATGTGTGTTCAAGATTGGCCTAACTTGTCTCCTTCATTTCTCAAATAAAACCAGGCAGCAGTTACACAACTGCCTTCAGGTGATCATGCTGAACTGAAGATCAATTATAACTCTTCCCAATTCCATCTTCAGTGGGCTGCTTTTTAAGTTTCTTTTTTTTTTGTAAACATTGAATGCATAAGACTGATTTTAATTTAAACTCGCACAACGAAAAACTGTACCATAATTTTTTTAGCTGCAGACATCTCATATGATTTTGATTTCATAGAACTGTGAAATCACCAGTTCTTCTTCAGGGGAAAAAAAAATTCCACATTTTGATTCAGAAATATAGCTATCAGGAAGAGGCTGTATTAAATTAGTAGGAATTAATGAGTTAAGTCCTAATATTTTCAAACAATTTTGCTACATCCTATATGTACAAATAATGTGAATATTACCTCTAGCACAAATGTTCATTGAACATATAGCAAATATATCCACAAAGTAAAATTTAAATGAACAGCCAATGTTCATATTGGAAATGGTCCTCCATGAATCTTGTCAATTCAAATAATGAAACTAATGAGTGTTATATTAAAATAAATACATCTTGTTTTCTGAACTAAACAAAATGAACTAACATATTCCATACCTTGCTACATATTTCTCAGATAGTCATATTCATAAACCCAGGTGTGCACAATACCTGTTGCTCACACCTGACTATAGATATACTCTCAGAAAGAACCTAATCCAGCAATATTGGTCAGCTACTCTGTTAGAAAATGCAATGGTAAACTAAGTCATCAAATAGAATTGAATGAGTTCTTCCAGTATGTTGAAAAAAAAAATACAGTATAATGTATTTTATATCATTTATATTAGGTTTTTGTCTTGATTGTTGGTTTATATTTCTGCTCACATATAGCTCAGTAAAAACAACACAGGCCAATTTCTCACTGCATAGCTAGGAGCAGAGGATTCTGGTTTTGGGTGATTTCTACCCTTGATACTTGAATTAGAACAAGAAGCACAACTAACATTTATCTTTTTTAATGCTGAAGAGTTGAAGAAAACATGCAAAATGCCACTTTTCATAAGACAATATGTCAACATGCCAGTTTCACATAGAAGATATATAGTGCTCAAAGCTGCAGTGAACACGCTTTCAAGCTATAGATAAAAGTCAGCAATTAACAAAAGCAAATGGGAAGAAGATATTTTTAGGAAAAATAATCAAAATAATATTCTTGCAGAAACAAACAATACAGTGGCAATTGAGACACCTCAACTTTTTACTGTAAAAGACTTGACTGAGGAGTGCAATGTCTTTTCTTTTCCTCCCTTCCCTCCCCCATCCAAATAATTACTCTATAGACCCAAACTGACTCACCTAAAAAAATCCCTTAACCAAAATAAACAAAGACACAAATCCTTTTTCAGTTTAACCCAAAAGAGTTACAAAGTCTCCTGGGATTCTCAGAACTTTTAAATGGGATTTAAATCACTTTAGCTGTTAGTTTATAAGTACATGCATTCTAACAAGGAAACTACTTAAAATGACACAGGAGACACCTACTGAACTCCACAGAAAACCCTTGGCAATTTAGTATTTAACAAGGCTCTAATGTAATTATATTCAAATAAAGCAGAAAACTATTGATTTTTTTTCAGTAGATCTTTAAACCACATATTATCAATATGTGGTTCTATTTGATACATAACTGTTCACATGTTTGAAGGATTTCCTAAGAGAACATACTACTAGTCTATTGAAAATTTCACAAATCTCGTTGCATAGCCAATTCAAACTTGTCTTTGCTTTATACTTCTGACCACTATGTACACTTGTAACACTGTGCTTATTTTCCAAATTGGCTTCTGTTTTTCCCAGCACAATTTTAATTCCAGATAAAACAGGCCTAAAGTTTTATCACCTAATATGAAATTATTAAACTCACTCTTTGTAGCACAGTTCAAAATCATGGTGACAGAGTACTGAAGTACTGAAGAGTACTGGGGAGTGGTCTGGAAGTCAGTTTTTCTTATTTACTGTCTCTGTCTCTCTTACAGTGGGAATTAGTCTGCTATTTTTACTTCCAAAAGAGAAAACTGGGATTGATTCAGTGCTGATGAAACAAACCAATCAAAAATCCTCCACTAATGCTCAGACACAGTGCTTCTTAAAAAAATGTTCTTTAAAATGAAACCAGAGAAAATCATAGAAAACTTACAAGTACTCTGCCAGTTAATGTCTGGGCAGATATCATGACTCCTGCCCAATCCTTCACAGACGTCATCCATCCCACTTCTGCTGCCACATTCTCCTCTTTTTCATCTGTTGGTTTGCAGGCTCCATCTGCCTGTGTGTCTCCACCACCATTGATCTTCTGGGCCTCCTGCAAAGTAAGTATTTGGATTAGTTAATGTTTAGCGATTTGACAAGGAAAGCCAGAGCAAAGTTATGGCTAAGAAATGCTATGAAAAACAGAAAATAGGTCTCGCTGGATTCCTGATAGATGAAATTAAGAACCTACTTGGATGTATCTCTTTGGAAATTATAGAAATAGAAGTGTTCTATACGGCACCAGACTAACACTAGATAATAATATTCTCCTTGACATTACATCTTAAAAACATATACTTGGCATCAAATATGCTATATGTTCCTTCCTTATAAGCAGCATAAGTGACAAGAGCTCTGTATGCAATTATACAGCTACCTATAAATGAATTTGTCGCATATACACTGAAAGACCTTTGATTTATTAGTTCAAAACAATGCATACTGAGTGTGAACATAATTTATGCACAACTTTAATTTAATATCACTAGAATTAATTATCTGAGTAAACCTTCACTAATAACCATGATGTAACAAGACAGTAATTACCAAGTGTAGGGGAACAAAATACACCATAGAGAATCTGCAGGGAGCTGCCATGCTATCAGTGAACCAGTTTTTCAATGAAAGTGTTTAATGTATCACAGGAATTATTCTGTCAGTAAGTGGCTCTCACAGAACGGAGAGCTAGAAATTAAAGAGGAGCCTCAGCTGCACCAAGCTTACTGATGAGTCACAGGCACTGGAATTCATATCTGTCTCTCATGGATGTTGCAGAAAGGGTGCCGTGCTCTGTAACTGCCTGCTATGTGCTACAGTCACTGGTGCTGCACAAAAATCAAGGGAAATGACAGGAAAAGCCAGCCTGGATTGTATAGCATTTAAAACAGACCACATGCAAAGTATCAGACTGTGCCACAAGCGTGCCTTTGGTGACAGCATAATACTAATGACTTCCTGAAGACTTGACAAGTTATGCTAAACAAGCAGAGGGGAGGCAGCACGATTCAGTGCTGAAGGAAGTACCAAGCACTTGAACTTCTCACATAGATCTACACTACTGCTTCAATCTCTCTGCACAGACCAACAGCTTGAAAGATCTTGTTTATAGATGACTTGTCTGTAGGTCACTAAGCAGGAAATCAACTGCCATTAATGCCCTTTGGGATATCTATTATACAAGCAAAGATGCTTGACGCTGGTTATGTGATTATTATTACTACAGTAGGAATACTACACTGTGAGGATCAAAACACATAGCTGTGAGACGGCCTTGAGGACACAGCTGGACATAAGGGTACAGGCACTTCCTGACAGTACTGAACTAATAAAGCAGTTGCATTGAATCTGTCAGCAAAGAACAGTAGAACAACGCTAAAAATGTAATATGGAGACCAACAGTTGTTTTTAGAGAATTGCAGCATCACAACTTAATTAGCTAATCAGGTTCTTTCTTCTCTGACAGTTTCCCTCCCAAAAAGCAGGCTCTGTGTTCTTACTAACAATTACAGCACAGTGCATGATGTGGCTGTATTGATAATAACATATTATTCAGAGTTACAACAGTAATTCAGTACACTTCCTAAGCAAATAACCAGACAGAAGATAAAAAGTACTTTGTATTTGCATAACTGGACCTCATTCACTGACAAATTTGGACACAGTGAATCAGATGTTTTGCACTCAGCATTGAATGACATATCCTGCACTGCACACGCACAGAGCACAACCTACAGAAATGAGCTCATTGCAGAGGACAGTGATGTACAGCACAGCATGAGGCATTTCCAGCAGAGTAACACCTGGTTGGAGGCAATTTGTGACCCATAACATCACCAAGCTGTATAGATCAGTCCCAAAGAAATGCCTTGACCACCATCAGGGTTTTGATTATAATTCAAGAAAGAGAAAACTAGGCTCAATATAGCAGACATTGTAATAAAATAGAACATTGAAGCTAGACACATCTCCAAGGTTCTGGTCACTCTCCCCCAGAGTCTCCCTGACCCCTCTGTGGCTCAGGATGCCATTTCAGCCCTGTCCAGGGCCACCTGCTCCCACAGCCCTGTCCTATCCAGCCTTAGTAAGCCAGATCCCACAGCCTGCCCAACCCACAGTCAGTTCCCCTTGCCTAGCCTGATCCACAGGCTAAGATCCCAGGCTGGCACCCAGAAGGCTCCTGGCAGTCAGGGCTCTTGTCCCACCACCCCAGCCAGGGATCTGGAGCAGGACCCTGGTCCACAGGGAGCCCAGTGTTGTGACAGCTACTGACTGGTTAAAAAACTACACATTCCATTTATTTCTCTCTTCCCACCAGTCTCTCTGCCTTTTGTAACTGCTAGAGCTTGTCTTTCGGAATGTAGACTTCACACACCAGATTTTGCTGCATGGTCCTCCTCTGCATTGCACAGCAAGCTTTCATACTCTGTACAAGTTTATACTGGATGAATTAATGTGATTTTCATAGTAAAGGAGTTTTAATTATCTCTTCCTCTCAGATAAGAAACTGAGGTGGTAATTAAGTGCCTAACTCAGTCACTAGAGAAGTCATTGGCAGAGTGAGGATGAAATCACTGTCTTTTTTGATTTTTCCACCTAGTATCCTCTGTTTAACATCATAGGGATTCATACCTTGCTAAACCTTCATAACTACGGATTTTGACACAGAAAGTCACAGAAATACAGATCACTGAACAAAAAGAGCTGAATTAAAAAGTACATTTTATGTTAGTGAACTTAGAAATATTAAGGTTGCAAAATTCTGTTATTGTGTACGTGTTCCTTCCTTACTCCCAACCTTTTTGTCAATAGATGCTTTTACTCATAAAACTATAAAAATAATTAAAAATCTCCTAAGACTCAATAAAATAGTAGGCAATTTACTTAACTGAAGGAGAAAGGTAGTTTTTACATTTTGAAAAGGTTTTCATAGCCTAAGTTCTTTTTGTTATATTGACTTTTGGTTGCCAGTAGAATAAAACAGTAAGTCATTGACAGACCTATTCACTATTTGATTCTCTAAAGGTATTAAAGTCTGTAATACGTTTGAATGGCTGTATTTCTATATTTATGCCACTTACTCCACCTCTACTAAAATCTCCCACCCATATTATTTCTAGAATGTAAGTAAAACAATTATCCCCTGCCAAGTATCATTTGGAGCAGACTCTCATGATCAGCCTAGCTCCTACCACTATTGCAGCTATAATTATTATGCAGATTAGTTGCTGCTATGTAATATTTTTGTTCAGCTTGGATATTTTATATTTTTCCATCTACATGGCTAGCTTCTTATCTTACTTAATTGGCAGCTGAGTATTAAGAAAAGTTTGTCCTAAGTCATTACGTCATTATGCAGAAATGAGGAGGTTTAAAGACTTCTTTTATTTACACTGAGTACAAATCAGACCTGTTATCAAGTGTATAGTCTGTTCCACTGCTATTTCTTCACCTCATAGCATTAAGTAACCAATACCAAAACCTGGAAAAGGTGCTTAGAATAATAACCTGACAATGACAATAATTGTTTAATTATTTACAAGTTCAGTATTACAAGTAAGGTATATTTATCCACTCTGTTTACTCTGTTCATTATTTTAATTACTTGAGGACAGGAACATTCAGGTAGGTTAAGTGAGAAGCAGGATATTTTGTGAAACATATATTTCCTGAACCTAATGACAAAATGGAAGACATGATGAGGTGTACAGGCATCAGGACTCATTATTCTACCAATCGTTTAACAAAGACCTGGACCAGAAAGTTCAATGCTTTGTCTCCTATTTTCAATAATAAATATTGATTTAGATTACCTAAGTTCTAGAATGCTTAAACACAGTTAACCTTAAGGAAGAAGAATTCAGAACGGGAAAAGACACTCAAAACCATTTAATGGTTGTGAAAATGTAGTCCTGCCTGCTCCATTTCACCTCTCTATAACACCTGTACAAACCTAGAACCACTGCATAGACACTCCATTCAACCCAGGACAACATGAAATAAAATCAGAAGATTATTATGAAACCTTAAAACATCTAAAAATAATTTGTCTTTTTAGAAGCCCTAAAAACACAGGATACCATAAAGACTCTGAAGTATGGTACTGAAAAAACTTGATCACTTGTTAAAATATGTTAGAAAACACAGGAAACAGGCAGGTAATGTGAGGGAAAAGAACTGAAACAAAGAAAAGGACTTGATATTCCCATTTATCTAACATCTAACTAATTGAATATCACAAAAAAGTCATAAAGTATCACCTGTAAAGAGAATACAGGGCATTGAGTCATGCCCACATCACTCAAGAGAAGACAGTATGCTCAATTTAAGTAGAGGTTCAAAAACAATAACACTAATATAGCAAGTTCAGTATCAGCCTTTGAATTTCATCCTAGATAACACGAGATGAGAAAAGGCCTGCCAGAATGGCAGCTGCACCTAGTTCAAAGTATGCAGTAATAATTCAGTAAGAAAATATAGTTTGGAGAAGTTAGGAAAGGGCTGCTAATTGCAGGTTGCTGGCATCCTTATTGCCATTAACCACCCTTCAATTAATAGCACTGTATTCCTAGACCCTACATCTTAAGAAAGGTTTTATATCAGGTCAACAACACTTCCATATTGGCCACTCTTATACATTAAGAATCTATGTTTATGTTCCTTTCCTTTACATTCATCAGTTTTCCCCAAAGCCACCAAGAGATGCTATGTGAAGAGGAATAATTTTGCATGTAAGACTATTTCTCCTTTCTGTTAGACAAACCTCTAAAACACTGAGTTTAAAATTATTAGACTTGTATCAATAATTTAATTCCGTGTCCTTAGATACATTAACTCACCATTTCAATAAGTCCAAATAGGGGTCTTAAATTTATACAAAACCATAATATTATGCTTCATTCTCAGAAGCTGGGCAATGAACAGTGCACGATAAGACTCCAGGTAACTACTGAATACATTGCCATGCCAGATGCTTTCCATCAGATATAGTTACCATCTGCAGTCTTCATCTTAATAGTTACTAAGTACCAATTCATCCAATGATAAAAACAAGTA